CAGCTGATCAGCTGCTCACAGCGTTGTATTTGAGCTTTGCTGTGATGCTTAGTTAGTGTCCAAACATGTCAATGATACTCCGAGGTCCACGGAGCAGCTGCCGAGATCAACCAATCTTATCTGAGTATAAGGACAGAAAGACGAGGGCGGTGTCTGTTGAGGCCTACCCCTCACAGGTCAGAGGGCGTGTCTTCCTGCCTGTGACCTGTGACCCTGTCTGGCCACCTAATGGAGCAGACTCAAGCTGGGAATATGAGCCTCTCTGAAACCAACTACAGCTCCTGCTAAGAGGCACTGAAGCGTCTTTACAGGATTCACCAGCTGTGAGACTGACAGGACTTCTTCTTCTGTGGTGGACTCGCGGATGCACTTATCAATGAAGGTGACCGTGAACTGATCCTTCCATGTCATCTGTCATCTGCTGGGTTGGTGAAACATGAAGCTCGTGTCCTCTGCAGTCTTAATAACACACAGGGGCCTGATTATCTGAGAGCTTGCATGTGGGGAGCAGGATTTTGAATTCTGGATGTAACACGAAGCCAAACAGGAGAAATCTGCTGCTTCTAGTCCCTCATGAATCTCTCCATAAACTGCAGTTAGTTCAAAATACAGCTGCTCGTGTTGTTTCCAGAATTACATCCACTGAACATATAACAGCTGTTCTTAAACAGCTGCATTGGCTTCCAGTTCACCTCCGTGTCAGATCCTGCTTCTTACTTTCAAAGTGCTTCATAACCTCGCTCCTCCATATTTACCTGATCGCCTCCATACGTACTCGCCCCCTCGTTCTGTCTGTTCCACTCTCGCCTGACTATCCTGGGACTCAGAGCCTTTAGTTGTTCTGCCCGAGACTTTGGATGCACTTCCACCAGATCTCCGGACCACAAACTCTCTACTTCTAAATCACAGCTGATTCTGTCTTAGTCCATTTTTACTTTGCTCAGCTTTGAGGCTTGTTTTTTTTTTTGTTTTGTCTAAATCTTATTTTGCAATGTTTATTATATTTTATTGCTGCTATTGTTCTTGTGCTATTGTAAGGTGACCATGAATAGCATAAGAGCGCCTATAAATAACATGTATTATTATTATTATTGTTATTATACAACAATAACACTGAACCCTGTGGAACTCCATAGTTAACCTCAGTGTGTGAAGACGACTCATTTACATGAACAAACTGGAGAGTGCAGGAAAGCTTCCTTCATAAAGACGACACAAACTCACACCTGAGTGGTGAGTACAGATACATCGCTGCTTCAACACATACAGGACAGACTTGTCAATCACAGGCTAGCCCCGCCCTAATCCCCCCATTCTGACTCCAACACGACCATCATGTTCAAAGGGAACTTCCTGTTTTATTCAGTCAGACCTGAGAGCAGCGACTGAGCCCATAAACTCATCAGGAATCGGCCCACTGGGCTCATTTCTCGCAGACTTCTATCTAATCAGACGTCAGAGGAGTCGCCCCCTGCTGGACATGAGAGAGAATGCAGGTAAGAAGCCTTTCTTCAGCCTGCAGTCTGACCAATCAGCTCTGTGACGTGTGGCGTGACCTCTCATGGAAAATCTTGTGTGCTCGGTGCGTGGACAGTAAGAGGATCCCTGCTTTTCACAGGCGCCTGCAGCTCCTGGGGAGCATTAATGATCCAAGCTTATCTCTGTAAGCTGATTAAAGCACCTCATTAAGACGTGTCAGTCAGCCTGCTTACAGTTCTGATTTCTTCTTCACCTTCTCTTCTCATCAGCCACTGAAAAACGCCTCGCCACACTCGTCATTATCTGGCTTTGAGGTCCGCCTCTCCTCCTGTGTTGTGGTGAGTTGAACAATCAGCACGTGGCTGCACAAATGCAGCTGCTCGAACACTAAACACGACCACGAGGCCGCTCAGCCGTCACTGCAGGCCCGGACAGATCACCGTGTGCTCGTCCCGGCTGCAGAGGCCTCCGCAGTGATGGTTACAACTGTTCTCACCCAACAGGTGAAACACAGCTGCCACACAGGTACGTCACAGGCCCCAAAAGGTTTTTACCTACATCAGATATAGTGATGTCATCATGTTGCCTAGCAACAGAATAAAATGACCTGTTTTTTCCTTGTGAAGCATCGTGTTGTTTCCATTTCAGAGCCAGCAGCACGAACAGGCCGCGGCGTGGACACGTGAGTATTAATAACACGTGGACCCAAAGGACGCAGCGCTGCCGGCGTGCTGATGCAGGCGCCAGGATGTGTTGGACTTGTGACCCGGGCAGCGCATTTTCCTCTGAGCGCGTTTAAAGGTGACTTCTGTAATCACGCAGTGCAGCGCTCCATCCTCCTCCACCTTCACCATTTCCCCTCCAACTCCATCACGTCAGCACGCCTCGCCTGCAGCTTTCTGCACATTTACAGAATCCATCATCCCCCTCCAGTGGAAACGATCACGAGCTTTGCTCTGACGCGTCACATGAAATGTACTTTCTACAGTCACAGCCTGAAAATAAAAACACAATAGAAGCAGACGTGAATCGCCAGGTGGTAACCCCTGAACGCCTCGTGCATCATATTAGAAACAGTTTCTGTCTGCATCATCAGAACGATTCTGTTTCCTCGAAAACCTAAAGAAGCAGAAAAATAACATTTTAAGGAAAAAACTGCAGATGTAGCAAATATGACATTAAAATTCTGATATGTAGTTTTTCTATTTGGAAAAGTAAAAAAACAGCGAAAAAGAAATTATTTTATTTTGAATAAACTGTTTTCATGCACATTTTTTAGTGCTTTGCTTACAGCGCGCTGAGGTAAACAGGCAGTAACTGTTTGATAAAGGTCTGTCACGTTTAGTCCTGAGTGTTCCTGCAGCACGGCTCATGTCTGTGTAAAAGAAGCTGTAGGGTGGAGGTGTGACGGTGTTTGGATCATTACAGGACAGCGCTGACACAGACAACAGGCTGCTCCGCCCATCTCCCCTTTGAGAAAACCTTCTGACTGGCTGATCAGCAGGTATGTAGATGTCAGCATGTCTGCTCTCTGGGGCATCATACGTGTCCCTCCGTTGGATAAGTAGAACATCAAACAAAAATGCTTTTCTTACTTTCAATTCAAATTAAATCTCTTCATCGAGTATCAGAGAATAAGAAACATCTCAGCGTCGCTCTGTTTCCAGTTTAGCACGTTAATAACAGCCAGAAAAGACGGACTCAGTGTTTTTAAGGCTGATGGAGCTCCGGTAAGTTTGGACAAACTCCGACCTACGGAGGAAAATCTGCAAATCATCCAAGAAAGAATCAAAAAAGGTAAAAGAAAGCTGTTTAACACCAGGTTTGAGCAGATTTCTTTTATTCATATCTCATTTCTACAAAACGTAAATCATCTTCAGCTCATTTACTGACAAACAAACACAGAGAGGACGATTTTACCCTGCAGTTCCCCCAGCATCCAGCAGAGGCAGCAGTGAGTCGGTCCCATAGACTCCCAGGTAAAACGAAACCTGCTCGCAGCCTGATGCACAAACTGTTTTGTCTCTAGAGACAATTTTCTCCCTCGTAACACCAGGTTAACTTGTACTAACTCATTATTATTATTATCATTATTAAGGTGTAAAATTTGCATTAATGGGGGCGTGGCCTCTGACAGGTGAGAAACATTTCAGCTGCTTCCCTCAGCTCTGCACCTCGAGGTGGACGTCCTTCCATCTGCAGGAGCACAAACAGTTAACGTGGCCTGAGGCGCTTCCAGAACAAACTGATTTGTGGGGCATGGGCGGAGCCTATCACAGCCTCGACCCAAACATGTTCCCTCATCATCCTCATCAACGATGATGAGTGCTGCAATAAAATCTGTACATCTGCTCACACGGTACAAGCAGCGCTGCATCTCACGGGGGGGTCACTCTGCTGATTAAAACGTGCCGCGCCCGCTTTGTGTCGCTTCCAGCAGTCTGGTGATCATGTCAGAGTGGGTGGGGTGAAAGGTCAGGCCATCCACCTCCATGGCCAGGTGACCAGTTTTCCCGCTTCGGATCCCAAACCGGACCAGAGTGGAGAGGAAGGACTCCTCCTGGGTTTAGGGAGAGAAGAGATGAGATCGTCCGCCAGCATTAACTACAGTTTATTTAATCAAGTCACGTTAGCTTCACGTTAGCATCACGTTAGCGTCACGTTAGCGTCACGTTAGCTTCACATTAGCGTCACGTTAGCGTCACGTTAGCGTCACGTTAGCTTCACGTTAGCGTCACGTTAGCTTCACGTTAGCTTCCTGCTGTGAATATTTACAGGCACAGAGGCTCCAGATGAGGCTGTGGGGGCACATTTGGTGCTTGTTAATCAGTTATTAAGCATTTGTGTGTTACCTTTTCCACAGACGGCAGGTTAGTAGTCCAGTCCTGCAGCTGCTCCGTGGAGGTCACAGGTTCCAGTCCCAGCCCCTTCCTCAGGTAGCGCAGGTGCGCTGGGCAGGTGTGGAGCAGGTAGAGCCCGCAGGCCACAGCGTAGCCTCCCCAGTTAGACACGCCTGCAGGAGCACGGGAGGAGGTCAGAGGAGATGGAGCACAGGGTTAGTTCAAACTGACCTGCAGCTCACACCAGCTGATCGCTCAGCCTGCATATGCCTGCTGCTGGCTCCGCCCTCCTCTGCTGTTACTGAAGCTGCTGTCAGTGTTTGGACAGCAGCGCTGTGACCAACTGTCCAAACCTTCTACCTTCGTTTGCTGATGCAGCTTTCGTAGCTGAAACGGTCACAGCAGCTCAGTGTTGGTGCAGGAAGTCACACCAGGTTAAGATGGCGGACGAGGTCACAGCGAGCTGACTGATGTTCTCATTTACAGCATCCATCAGTGCTGCAACAGAGAGCAGCATGATGCTGCGACAGCTGCTGTGTTCGCAGAGGCCGTACCTGCGGTGACGGCGTGGTCTGCAGGAACCTCACAAGCGATCAGACCGCCTTTGGGCATCAGGCTCTGCACCTTCTCCTTCACCTTCCCCATCCCCAGCTCGTTCCCGCCATCACCGATTCCTGCACACACGCACACACAGACACACAAATCGTTCAGTCTCCTGTGAGGCTGAGTCGTGATTGGCTGCTGGATTTATCACAGAGTGTAATGATCAGATGGTGGGAGGGTTCCCGCCTGTGGTGCCGATTCCAGGTATGTGCTTGGCAGCGATGAACAGGTCGTCCACGGGATCCACCAGATGTTTGATGTTCACTGCTCTCATGTTATAGTAGTTCCCATCTGCGGCGCGTCCGCTGCGCTCTATCGCCACCAGGTGGTCGAATCTGGTAACGAGCATCAGTGTCACATTAGAACCTGCAGCCGTACCTGTGCAGGTGTGAATAACAGTTAAAGAACAGTCTGTGCTCGTTTCCTGTTGTTTGGGCTCACGTGTGACAGATGATTCACAAACCTGCCGAACACTCAGAGATGCTTTTTATTTGTTTTTGAGGTTTTCTGCATTATGATGACATCATCGTAATGTTACACGTATCACTTTGCTTTAGTCGCAGCAGCACTCCAGCTGCACACACTGCATGTCGTTATTTTAAGGGCTCCTCACGTGTGTTTGGACTCGCTGCAGAGGGTGGAGCAGGCCTGTGACGGAGAGCTGCTGATCTCTGAACTGGACTTTTTCCCATCATGCACAGCTCAGCTGGACCAACAAATCCAGCCTATCTGTGAAGGTGCCTCACACGCCAGCTCACCTGGGCTTGTTAGGGTCTCCATGGTGACACAGGAAGTGCCGCGCAGCGTCTGGACCACCGTCTTCAAAAGTGACCAATGGGATAGCAGCCTTCAGGACTCCTGAGGGTGACATCACAGCAGTTTCTTGCACTTTATTTTGAAAGTCACATTTTATTTTCTCATTCTGAACATTTCTAAATTAAATTCATCCCGGAGCAGAATTAAAACTCTCACCTGTCCTCACTGCTTCATCGATGATGGCGCGGTTCATCTCCAGCGCCCGGCGATCCGTCACCATGGTCACCCGTTTCCCCAGAGACAGCAGCATGGTTGCCATGGCAATTGCTCCCGGTGGGCCGTCCGTTTCATCGGGAGGGCTGAAGAGGAGACGCAAATGCTGAGGATCACCTGTGTTACTCGTGACCTCTCCCCCATCACAGACTGTAAACAAATGATGGAGGCAGCTTCTGACGCCACTGCCATCATTTGTTTACAGTCTGATATAATCCAATGTTGAACTTCCTGGTCACACAGAACCAGGAAGCAGCGGTGTGTGTGTGTGTGTGTGTGTACCTGTGCATGTAGTGTGTTGGGAAGCCCGTTGTTATGGCAACAGAGGAGGAATGGGATAGAGCCAGACAGGAGCGCAGGAGTTCATCCTGAACGAATAAAGCTCTGATGCCTCGCTCACCTGCAGACGCACAGACACAAACGCTCAAACAAAGAAGAACAGGAAGCGGCGACCCGACAGGTGCTGCTCAGACGGGCAGGTAGGAGGACGACCACATGAAACTCTGAGGAGCTCTGGCTGCAGGTGAAAGGACAACTAACGTTCAGTCTGCAGGTAAACCCAAAAACTGTCCCTTCATCAAACACGCTGCAGGTGTAGTAGCCTCTGTGATGCACAATAACAAAAAGCAGCACCACCCGTATGACAGTAAAGGAGCTTCATATGTCTGCGCGCGGCCGTGGACGCCATGCACAGGTGTGGCAGACGGTGAGGACAGCTGGTTTTTATGGTCTGTTTGTTTTTCTGCAGAATAAACTTGAGTCATGGACTCAGCTGAAGCACCTGAGGAGCTTCATCAGGCTCCACCTGCTCCATCATCAGCATCCCGGCCGTTCTACCTGGATCTTCTCCGATCATCACCTCCAGCTGTCTGATCCTCGCCGCCATCCCCTGAGAGACCAGGCTGTACAGCAAGGGATTCTGGGACACCTGGAAGCACAGGGGGGTCAGCTCAGGATGGGGTTTGGCCTCAGTGGGCGGAGTTATGGTGGAGGTAGGCGAGTCAGGAATGTCGGTGAGGAACATGCAGCCGGGCGAGTGGCTGAAGGCCAGCGGAGGCTCTGAAAGAGACAAACTGTTCAGGTCCTCTGCAGGCTGTGATGTAAGCACAGTATCAGCCAATCAGAGTGCTCACTGCTGCTGAGGATCGCCTCGATCGCGGTCACGCCACACGCCCAAAA